TCAACATTGAGAAGGTGTATGACACTGCCTGGTGGTGCAGGATACTGCAGGTTTTACATTACTTTGGCCTTATGGATCAGATGCCTTTGTTGATACGAGCCTTTAGTGACCGTACCTTCAGGGTGAGGGAAGGTGCTGCCCTCTCGGCCACCCTCTCAAAGGATGAGGGTGTTCCTCAGGGCAGTGTCCTCAGTGTCTCTTTGTTTAGTTTGGCCAGTTGTGTGCCCCAGGATGTTTGTACCACTCTTTATTTGGATAACTTCTCCATCTTGTATGCCTCTTCTCGTCTAGATGTTGCCAGACGCTGCACTCATCTGGTGCTGACCTGTGTTACCTGATGGGGAGACTCCCATGGCTTCTGATTTCTCCAACTAAGACTGTAGCCATGCATTATACCTGGCTCAGGAGTTTTCCGTGATCCAAATTTGTATATGTATGGCAGGAGACTCCTGGTAGTGGAGCAGACTCACTTTTTGTGTATGGTCTTGGACCACTGTCATGTATGGCAGGAGACTCCTGGTAGTGGAGCAGACTCACTTTTTGTGTATGGTCTTGGACCACTGTCATGTATGGCAGGAGACTCCTGGTAGTGGAGCAGACTCACTTTTTGTGTATGGTCTTGGACCACTGTCATGTATGGCAGGAGACTCCTGGTAGTGGAGCAGACTCACTTTTTGTGTATGGTCTTGGACCACTGTCATGTATGGCAGGAGACTCCTGGTAGTGGAGCAGACTCACTTTTTGTGTATGGTCTTGGACCACTGTCATGTATGGCAGGAGACTCCTGGTAGTGGAGCAGACTCACTTTTTGTGTATGGTCCTGGACCACTGTCATGTATGGCAGGAGACTCCTGGTAGTGGAGCTGACTCACTTTTTGTGTATGGTCTTGGACCACTGTCATGTATGGCAGGAGACTCCTGGTAGTGGAGCAGACTCACTTTTTGTGTATGGTCCTGGACCACTGTCATGTATGGCAGGAGACTCCTGGTAGTGGAGCAGACTCATTTTGTGTATGGTCCTGGACCACTGTCATGTATGGCAGGAGACTCCTGGTAGTGGAGCTGACTACTGGTCCTGGACCACTATCATGTATGGCAGGAGACTCCTGGTAGTGGACCAGACTCATTTTTAGGTATGGTCCTGGACCACTGTCATGTATGCAGGAGACTCCTGCAGTGGAGCTGACTCACTTTTTGTGTGGTCTTGGACCACTGTCATGTATGGTAGGAGACTCCTGGTAGTGTAGCAGACTCACTTTTTGTGTATGGTCTTGGACCACTGTCATGTATGGCAGGAGACTCTGCAGTGGAGCTGACTCACTTTTTGTGTATGGTCTTGGACACTGTCATGTATGCAGGAGACTCCTGGTGGAGCTGACTCACTTTTTGTGTATGGTCTTGGACCACTGTCATGTATGGCAGGAGACTCCTGGTAGTGGAGCAGACTCACTTTTTGTGTATGGTCTTGGACCACTGTCATGTATGGCAGGAGACTCCTGGTAGTGGAGCAGACTCATTTTTGTGTATGGTCCTGGACCACTGTCATGTATGGCAGGAGACTCCTGGTAGTGGAGCTGACTCACTTTTTGTGTATGGTCTTGGACCACTGTCATGTATGGTAGGAGACTCCTGGTAGTGTAGCAGACTCACTTTTTGTGTATGGTCCTGGACCACTGTCATGTATGGTAGGAGACTCCTGGTAGTGGAGCAGACTCCTGATCCTGGACCCACTCTCACATGGTTACCACATCTATGTCTGCTGGATGTCTCTCATCCATCTGCTGTTACATGTCTCTTTGGGTGTTGATCAGACCTCGCTCAGTCGTCTATACAGTGCGTTGGTTCGGCCTAAACTTGATTATGGCTGTGAACTGTAGTCCTCCTAGAGGCCGCTTTGTTTGCATATTTTAGATTCTGTCCACCACACTGGCATGTGCCTGGCTACCGGGGCTTTTAGATCTTCCCCAGTCTTCTGTGTGATGCGGGTGAGCCCCTCTGGACCTCCGACAACACCAACTGGCTGCCCTGCTCAGTGGCTCACTGGATACCTTCTTTATGCCTCTCGTTCCCGACGTAACCTCCACCCTGACTGTCTGCAGATACCTTCTGCACCTCGCCCTTTTGGCTTCCGTGCAGAGTATCTCGTCGACAAGCTCCATTTATCCGGGATTTTTGACTCTCGCTGTTGTATACTCGACTAATCCCCCCTGGCAGTTGCCAAGGATGAAATTTTGGCATTATTTTTCAGGAGTCCAGGACGCTTATCTCTTTGGCCACGTTCGATCACTCTTTTTGGAGCATGGTGCTGAGCACAGTAACTGTTTCAATCTTCATGGATGGGTCAAAGATGGATGCTGGAGTAGAGTATTCTGTGGTGTCAAGAATTTTTATTTTCTCCAAGCCATTATCCATCACTGCCTCACTTTTTATGGCTGAGCTATGTGGGATTTTAGCTGTACAGCATTTGCAGGTATAATGATCGTTTTGAACATTTTACTATTTTAGTGACTCGTGTAGTGCCCTACAGGCACTTGAGTTTTTTTTTTTTTTACTCCTCTCACCCCCCTGTCGTCAAAATTTTAGAGTAGCTCTTTATACACAAGCAGCATGAGCAGGAGGTCTAGTTCTGCTGGGTACCTGCTCACGTCTCAGTTGACGGCAATGAGACGGCCGATGTAGAGACAAGGCGTGTGGTGACGGTTGCGGGCCAACCCCACAGGAGGCCTCTCCTTCACTGCAACATTCACCCTGTACTCCGGTGAACTGTCCATCGTTGGTGGTATGGCCAATGGGCTGGAGTGGGTATAAAAAAATGCCGGCGATAACTGATGTATATCCATGGCAGTATAGGTACCCGATCATGCCTAGCCAGTTATAGGCTGCCTTGACTCGTTTGCGTATTGGCCTTACCCGGTTGATACACGGGTACCTTATGGACAGTGGCGTGGCTTACTGCCTGGTCCCCTTGACTGTATGACACTTGCTGGTCGAGAGTCCCAGTCTGGGGGACCGGTGGCGTAGGCACCTCTCCTGGTGCCGTGGGGGAGATGGTTCTTACTCTGTCTGCAGTGCTGGGGGAGGAATCATGCTGCACGGTGGAGTTGAGACTCTTAATGTTCTTGAAGGAGGCTGGCCTCCTATATCTTTTATAAGTTTACGTATTCTTGTCTCCTTTTTGGTGATGTTATTTCCGGTTTTGTTTTATTTTCCATCATTTTGATTTTAGTTTAATCTTTTACCATTAATTATCTTCCGTGCCATGTGACCCTGGCTGTTGCTGCACCAAATACAGTATTCATAATCATTTGCATTCTTCTCACATGTCAGTGTTATTTCAGGAAACCTCTCCACCAGTTACAACTCTTTAACACTTCACACCCTCTGCCCTTTCATTCATTGTAGACTTCATATACACTTCACTGTTTCTCACCCCTACAATATTGTTAACCCCCCAGATGCAGTCTTCTGGTAACTCATATCTGTAACTTGAATTTTAGAGTTTTATGCTTCTTGTTTCACCTCTAAAAGTCAAAGTAGGAAGGTTTATACTATTCAGTACAGTACCTCAGTCCTCTCTTCAATGTTGTAATTATACTTCACTTTATGCCCTCCCTTATATTCTCTCCTGAGTATCACTCTTCATTGTACCAATTTTAACTCACCTGCACGAGGATTCGAACTTATTTTGTACCCCATAGTGTCTTGGTTGGTGTCACCACCTTGTGTGTTTAAGGCTATACTGTATCTTAGTAATGAAAGACAGCAGCCTCACAAAACTTGATGGGCATAATGATGAAGAGTCACCTCTGCATCATCTAACAACACTTATTCATCTTTCTGAAGACTAGGTTACCATGATCTATTTTTGTGGAAATAAAGGTAACATTACACTTATGTTTTAAAACCAACTTCAGTGTAGATCAATGCAACATGCTACAGTTACCAAACATTGTTTATGATCGTACAGATAACATGTAATACCTTCTTTTAAAGAAATAGGTTAATTTTATTTTTGTGAGGAACAATTAATGTTACAACATAATATCATTGCCAGATTTAATGAAGATGAATATCTAATGACTCACAGTAATTGATTTGAAAAGTAGGACACTGACCTGCTCTTCAGAACATTTAGATCACCATAACATGCTGGAGTTATCAGAGAGCTATGTTATGGGCCTGATCATCTAATAACAAACAGTCATACCTTTGAGGTATAGGTCACTGACCTGCTTCTTTAATTGAGTTTGTACATCTGTATTCTTGTGCAGGATTAGGTTAGTGATTAAAACACCCTACCATGGCCTACTAGTTTACAACTATATAAGTCACAAGTACAGTACAGTACCAGAATACATACACATGTTCCTCAAAGGATGTCCAGTTTATCTTTTGGGATTTATATTAATGCAACTAGGTAGTCACCAACTTTATTATTGTAATGATACCTTTATAGCCTACTCTCAGAACAGTGTGTCAATCTTAACTGTTTTGGGGTGAATATATGGTAGGTCACAATATGTCGTATGTCCAACATTTACACTATTGTAGTGTGTTACATTCACTCAACTTCATTTGCATGATCATTGAACAAACTGGTCACTTCAGAAAACTTGGTAAATGTAACCTGTTTTAGGGGAAATACAGATCACATTAAATAGAATGGTTCATGAGTGTGGGGCTTTAGGAATCCTGGAAAGCCCCAACCTATTCCAGCTGGGGCAATAATTCAAAGATTAGTTTTGTCTCCAACAAGAAATCTAGTCCTTAAAAAGAGACAGAAAAAACTACTGTACAGTTCTTTAGTACATAAGAAAGCATAGATATATAAGATTCTTTTATGGACACTCAGTATTTCATCTCATATATTTCTCATGCAATAAAATTATTTAAACTTTTAGGAGACACTTCTGGTAAAAATAACACTAAGGATTCTATACCTATAAAGGTATTCTTTGTATTATATTCACGTCTTAGGATTGTTGTTGTTTTCTTTACAGACGTATGTTACTAGTACGTCTAGGCCTGCTGAACGAAACTCTTATGGAATTCAAGATGGTCCTTCAGGCTTAGAACCTCGTGAGTAGCTGTATGAAGGCATCCCTATGTTCTTGTGTTTAGGCAATATTTAATTAGACAGCTGTATTGATTTTTTTAAAGACGTGATGACCCAAGATATGTTTGTGTTAAAATCCAATGGGCCAAATATTCAAAAGTAAGACGCACGCTATAACCTTATTTACCGCCATCTGGAAATCTCGGCAAACTTTCCCAAATGTGGATAATTTTTGTAAAATGATAACGATGTCAGACTAGTTTGGGTTCATGAGTACAGTATTTTATTAAAAACTATCAGGCGAATAATGAGGAGAATTAATTGGTCAAGCCAGCCATGTCAAGCTTTATTCAACATAACAACTGGAAGATACATTAATGTGTAGACTTTCAGGGTGTTTATTGTATACTATATATACTTGTTTAGCACAGAGGTGATCCCTTTGATGCCTCATTTCCAGACTTGTAGCTCAAACACCTTGACACAGCTTGCTTGATGCCTACCCACTTTGGTATGGGAATAGGATTGTCACTCTTTGTTTTTAGGTAATTTTTTATTTTATTTATTTATTTATTTTTATTTTTATTTTTTTTATGTTACTGTACACAGTACTGTTCCCACTACTTTGTCATTATCCATTTTTTATTTTCCTTCTTAGAGCTAGAGGCTGCCCGTCCTCAGACCGTCGGGGAAGAAGAATTACAGTTACAACTTGCCTTGGCCATGAGTAAAGAGGAAGCTGAGCAAGAAGAACAAAAACAACGCTCTGATGATGTGCGGCTCCAGATGGCCATCACCCAGAGTGAGGAAGATTTCAAGTAAGTATTAATGATTTTTACTGAAGTAGATTAGTTGAATGTGAAGCTTAATTATGTACAGGATCATGATAATATACAGTGCTGAACAGTGGCTCAAGGTTAGCAGAATATATGGCCAACCTCCTGCTACGAACTGACAACTTGTGTATTTACCCACTAAGTCTCAGGTAGAAAATACAGTAGTACAGGTAAATCCTTGACATTAGTCCGGGATTACTGTACACTGAACCCTCACTAGTTCGATGTTCAGTATCGTAGGATAATTTAAGTATTTTTTTCAATGGTTATCCTTAAATAATTTTATGGCTGCCATTCCTTCCAAAATACAGTAATTTTTTTGTGTGTGTACAGAAACACTTAAACTTTAGAAATAACATGAAATATATACAAACATATATGAAATACAATTGGAAGGTGTGTGCATGGTCTCCATCTCACGGCCATTCATCAATTACCCACCACCACCACCTCATCCTCAAGTCTTGTTCATATAAGACGCTCATGTTTAATATTATCTAATGTCACCTCTAATATGTCACACTTTAACTGTTTCTTGTTTAAAGTGTGCTTGGCGGGCCTTTTTTGTGCTCATTATACATTATATGGGACGATATTTAGAGAAATAAATGCGTTCATATACAGGCATCCCTTGTTATCCGAATGTTCGCTGTCCGAAAATTCGTTTATCTGAAAATTTTATGCTTACACCTCTTTTTCACTACCCAAAAGTGATCCTCGCTCCACCGAAAGATGGTCTGATCGAAAATTCAATTCACCCCCTGTGGTGAACCCTGACTGCCCTCCTATAAGGTAATGTACCAGCTGTATAGTACAGTATACAAGTATTTTATTTAGTTTAGCAATTACCGTACAGTAGTTAGGTACTAAATTACAGTACAGTAGTTAGGTAGGTTTTTTGTTGTTTGTGAACTAATTTAATTATTTTTAGGTATAATAATGAAGTTTTCTTGTTGGGAACTGAACTTTTTTTTTTTTTTTCCTATTTATATTATTCATTATCTGAAAATTTGATATCCAAATGGTTCTCAAGGAACCTAACCCATTCGGACAATGAGGGATACCTGTATACATAACTGCTGCAGTCATCTCTCTCTATACATCTAGAAGTGGCCTGTTGAGCACATACAATATGAATATTTTTCTTACATATTTTATTTAAAAAAAAATTCACTAAGCACAACCATTACAGCAGTAATTTTCGACAGTTTGCATAGAATAAATTATTGTGTGGAGGACTGTGGTCACCAACCCTCAGATATGAGGACAGTAATTGGCTGACTATACTGTACTGTACGTACTGTGTCCTCCACTTATCATCACAATCATTGTAAATTTACAAAAATTCATTCACTTGTACACATAAATTTTAATTTATTACTGTACTGTACTCTACTGTATTCTGTAATTATTTGTATTTGTTTATTTGATCTTTTGTGTTATGATGATTATTATATATTAATATTTTATTTAGACATTTATTGAAGATAGATAATTCAGAGTAGTTTAATGGAGACCAAAATGGTATTGGTGAATTTTATGATGCTAGACTTGTTGTTTCTGGAACCTTTGGTGCGTGGATAACAAGGGAAGTTTGTGTACTAACTTTAATTATCTATGAGGTGGTTTGATATATGTTTACCATTGTATGTCAAATTTACTAATCTCTCTCTCTCTCTCTCTCTCTCTCTCTCTCTCTCTCTCTCTCTCTCTCTCTCTCTCTCTCTCTCTCTCTCTCTCTCTCTCTCTCTCTCTCTCTCTCTCTCTCTCTCTCTCTCTCTCTCTCTCTCTCTCTCTCTCTCTCTCTCTCTCTCTCTCTCTCTCTCTCTCTCTCTCTCTCTCTCTCTCTCTCTCTCTCTCTCTCTCTCTCTCTCTCTCTCTCTCTCTCTCTCTCTCTCTCTCTCTCTCTCTCTCTCTCTCTCTCTCTCTCTCTCTCTCTCTCTCTCTCTCTCTCTCTCTCTCTCTCTCTCTCTCTCTCTCTCTCTCTCTCTCTCTCTCTCTCTCTCTCTCTCTCTCTCTCTCTCTCTCTCTCTCTCTCTCTCTCTCTCTCTCTCTCTCTCTCTCTCTCTCTCTCTCTCTCTCTCTCTCTCTCTCTCTCTCTCTCTCTCTCTCTCTCTCTCTCTCTCTCTCTCTCTCTCTCTCTCTCTCTCTCTCTCTCTCTCTCTCTCTCTCTCTCTCTCTCTCTCTCTCTCTCTCTCTCTCTCTCTCTCTCTCTCTCTCTCTCTCTCTCTCTCTCTCTCTCTCTCTCTCTCTCTCTCTCTCTCTCTCTCTCTCTCTCTCTCTCTCTCTCTCTCTCTCTCTCTCTCTCTCTCTCTCTCTCTCTCTCTCTCTCTCTCTCTCTCTCTCTCTCTCTCTCTCTCTCTCTCTCTCTCTCTCTCTCTCTCTCTCTCTCTCTCTCTCTCTCTCTCTCTCTCTCTCTCTCTCTCTCTCTCTCTCTCTCTCTCTCTCTCTCTCTCTCTCTCTCTCTCTCTCTCTCTCTCTCTCTCTCTCTCTCTCTCTCTCTCTCTCTCTCTCTCTCTCTCTCTCTCTCTCTCTCTCTCTCTCTCTCTCTCTCTCTCTCTCTCTCTCTCTCTCTCTCTCTCTCTCTCTCTCTCTCTCTCTCTCTCTCTCTCTCTCTCTCTCTCTCTCTCTCTCTTCTCTCTGTCTCTGTCTCTGTCTCTCTCTCTCTCTCTCTCCACACACACACATATTTGAAGTAGACAGCTATGAGTTACAGTACAGTATGTCACACTAGCTTATAAGCACCTTGTCTGTCAACCTACTTTGTCATATTGGAATTCCATGTCACTGTTTTGAGCACAGCTGGTGTCTGCTTCATCCCTGAGAAGGAGCCAAATATCTCACTTTCTTAGTAATAGATATAGGTGAAGTCTGCACACTTCTAGATGTAAGTATTTAAATAGGAAGGTGAATTTTGTCTTTTTTTTTTATATTGTTAGTGTTTATTTCTGCTGGTGACTCCCTCTACCACCAGTGCCACTGTTTTAATCTCTCTTTTTTTTAGGATGCTTTTGTCACTTCTTCAGAGCAATTTATATATATTAACCCGGGGGCTACGGACTATGGTCTGCACCACCCCCCCCACACACACACACACCCACCCACCCCCGGGTATAGTCGAGAATATTTAAAAAAATAAAAATAAATGAAAGTCAACACCAGTCTTACAAACTGGTCATACATGGTATAAGCAGGTTGGCAACACAAGGGCTAGGAAGAGTCGAGAATGTTTGTGAAGTGGCATATGTATGATATAACAGTATGAAGTAAACAACACTAATTTATAGGCAGTATGAAGTACTGGTTTACTATGTTATTACTATTTACACTATAAACGACTATGTTATTACTATTTAGTATTTATACTATAAGCAACTATGTTATTACTATTTACACTATAATCAACTACGTATGTTATTGCTATTTAGTATTTATGCTATAAGCAACTATGTTATTACTATTTACACTTAACAACTATGTTATTTTACTATTTACACGACCAGTGGTGGGCACAGTTCCGCTAATCCGCTAATTAGCGAAGCTAACTTTCTCGTTAGCGGATTAGCGTTTTCGCTAACTTTGGAAACCATTAGCGGACCAATTAGCTTCCGCTAAATTTAGTTCCGCAAAAAAAATTTATACATGTTTGTTCCTGTCTGTTATAAGCGTGTGACTCCGCGACGCGTGTCTCCAACAGCCAGTCAGGCATGCTTGGCTGACTGTGTGTTAGTACGTGTAAACGTGACAAGAAATGATTTGTCGACGCCGCGCTGCAGCAGCTGAGCGAATGGAATTATTCGATTATTAAAGTTTACAGTAGAAGTCCAAAAATCCGGACTGCTTGGGGATTGGGTCGGTCCGGATTTTCGGATTTTCCGGATTCTCAGGCAGTACTTTTAAAATTAAAATTTAAGGAGGAATAAAGAAGAGATGAACATTTTGATAGTTTATTCATTAGCAAATAAAGCATGCTTCATTTATCAAAACAAGCAGTTTTAAAGAAAAATAAAGTCAACACTAGACAAAAATGTAAACAAACTGTCTAATACCATGACGAGTCTTGAAATTCCTAAGCCATCCATCACTAAATGCGCACTCTGATTCGATGTTCATTTGCTCCTTAAAAGACTTTGCTTTGGCAATAAGCATCGGCCCAGAAATTGCCATACCCGGTACCTTCTGATCGTTTTAACAAAAACCATTCGTGCAACACTTGATCAAGATTTTCTAATTTGGGCCAATGTAAACTTTTTCTTTCAGCAATTTTAATGTAAGGCTCAGAAGAAGCTGTGAATTCTAGAATTTTATTCTTTGCCTTTTTTATATCATAAATTGTAGACTTTCCAATGTTGTATGTTTCCATTAGAACAGCATTGTTCACATTACATTCTAGTTTCTTAATTATTTCAAGTTTGTCACTCAATTTCAATGTGTTCTTCTTTCTCTTCACACAACGAAGTTTATCTACTTTAGGGGCCATTATTATGGGCTTGTACTCTGTACATGGAAAGAGTAGGACTTAAAATTACATATGTTGTCACAGTTTGATTGCTTGTTTTAAAGTGGCGATCGTGTGGTCGTTTGTTGTCGCTGTGCAGCTGTGGCATTCACGCATGCACACATACACACAAAAGTTTTATAGTGCCTCAAATTTTACATTTCAGTTCAAGCTAATTACAAAACTAACAAAATTAGCTACCTATAATTTACAATTACTTTTATTATTAGAATTATGTAAATTAATTTTTTAAAGCAACTCCATTCATTCACATAACCCACAAAAGCCCGCTAAATTTAAAAAGTTTGAGTTTTCGAAAAGTCCGGATTCTCGGGTGGTCCGGATTCCTGGCATCCGGATTTTTGGACTTTTACTGTAATACTTTTTTTTATAGTAAATAAAGACTGTCAGTGTATGCTGAAAGAATCATAGAATGTAATTGTACACTAATGTATAATTTCATTTCTCATTTATTTGTTAATTTAATTAGGGTTTTTTTGTGTCAGTATATTTGGTTATGCCAGTGGTTCTCAACCTTTTTCACTCCATTCCCCCCTTGAGGAATTTTCAACATCCTCGTGGCCTCCTTCATTTTTCTCCCAGAACAGACAAACAGACAAGTGATAAAGACTAAAGAATGATAAAGAAGGACAAGAGTTAGAATGGCAAACACACACACACACATTCACATACATAACATGCCCATGCACTCACACATAAAGCACACACACAGCCATACACAAATATGCACACAGGTAAACATTCACACTCAAGCTAGCAAGCTGAAGTGTTCTTCCTGTGAGCAAGAACACGCCTCCTTTGACAAGCACTGCCCAACTTGGAAGAATGAGAAGAATAGTGAGTCATACCAATTTAGCACTAAAATGGTAGGATTATATAAGTAAAGAATGAGTATGAACAACAATGGCACCAATAAATGAGGAAATAATTAATAAAGGAAGTGTACAAATATTTCACCCACGTAAAGCAGCGACCACGTGAATTATGAAACAAAATAAGTTACACCAATTACGGAGTATATTATGCTTGAGTCAACCTCAAACACAATATATGGTTTAGAAACAATACACTCCACTGTTTTCGTGATGGTATCCCAGGCCAGACTGAGATCATTCGGTCCTATCACCACGTGACACACGGACACGTACTGAACAAGTCAGTTCAGCAGCTCGGTCCAGCGCCTGTCACACAGACAGGGACTGGACCTGTGAAATCTTAAATTATCCGTAAAAAATAAAAAAAAATTAGCACCAGAGTACAGTGAGTTGTGCTA